CACCGCTCTTCATGGGCACCCCTCGGCCATTGCGGCCCGCGGCGCGTGGGTCAGGGGGCAGGAGGCGCGAAATCGTCGTGCGACAAACGACAGTCTCAACTGGGCCGATGAAGCGCGCCTCGGCCCATCAAGGTTTGTGCCCCTGCTTGAAGCGCGAAAGGGTACCAGCGGCCTCTATCGTCTACCTCGATACGTAACCGAGCAGGGTTACTACACGTCAGGTGTAGAAATACATATAGCTATATATACATATATATATAGATATCCTATGCAAGTATATTCGTTTTAGGCGAGGAGACTGTGCACGCCCTGTTTTGAAAAACGCCGCTGCTTTCTCTGCTAGTACCGTCTGCGAAGGAGAGGCCGGTTTTCCGAAGGGGCTACCGGACGTGGTATGGTTTCACTTCCGCGAGGCTACTCTGGCTCTGCGGATTTTTGGGGAGGCCCCGCAGAGCGAACCCTGGTCCAGCGCAGCTGATGCGCACGAGCGGGTACTGCAGCCGGGCGTGTATGGGTAGGTACCGGGGTGTCACGCAGTTATTCGCAGCTACAACCGTGCGTATGTTAGATAGTATCGTCTCTCAGCCTTCGCGGAGCACAAAGCTGTAGGAGCGGCGAACATGCGTTGTGGGGCTTGTGAAGACCGTGCTTGCTCTCCAACGTCCTCAGCAGCCGCGGAGATTGCCCAGCTCAACGCCGTCCGTCACGCCGTCGCGCACGTTGGTCCGCACAGAGAGGTCGCTCCCGCAATCTCCATTTGGGTCAAGCAGCTTTGTATGTACATGATTCTTCCTCATCTTTAGTAAAACGTCGGCTACTCAGCGCTATGGGCTGAGCCATAATGCAGAGAAAGCGTCCGGGAACGACGATGCGCGCGCGCAGGTGGATTTCAGTGTGAATTGCAGCTCCACACCGTGGGATACTCGCTTGCCGGAGCAAGTAATCGGGAGCTGTGACGGCGTGCTTCGACACGGGAGGTTATGGCTGTATTCCAGAACATAAAGGCAATTATAAGTATGAGCATCCGGTCAGATAGCCATGCCCGTTCCCACCACATCTCAGCACGTGTGACGTAGGAGGTGCGGCACAAGGTTCGTGCCACCAAGCTGCTCCAGAACCTCTTTAACGTTCTAGTCGTGTACCGGAAGGCTGCGGTGCGCTCCATACATGCCCTCCTGCACTGCTAACTCTATACCTGGCGTCGGCGGCATCAGCACACTTTACAGTTCAGGAGCAGGCGGACCCTCCGCCTTTGGTGCTGTACAGAGAGAACTCGTTTTACCGCCCCATTGCAGGGACAGGCGCCACAGACGCATGTGTGTGCGCCATACTGGGCTCACTGTATGTGTGAACCCGCCGTATCACGAATCACGCGGCAATTCTTCACTCGATCCTCTACAGCTCTCCTCTCGGTAGCTAGCTGTGGCCGGGCCGCCGCGCTGTCCCACGTTCCTCTGCACCCTCGTTTTCCTTTACGAGGGCTACGCTAGGGTCCTCCTGCCTTCGCCCACTCGCACGCCTAACAGAGACTGTCTAACCCTATTGCCAACATGCTCCGCTTTTTCCCTCGAACGTGCACGCATACGGTGAGGGATCCCCGACAGGGTAGACGAGAAGGAAACGCTTACAAAGGTCACCCGTCGCCGCTGTCGGCGCACAGGAAGCGTGCTCCTGCTGTGCTAGGACGCGCACGTGGGCATGCCTTCAGCATCTTAGTCGACGCTCACAGAGCGACGGCGAGCGTTTGCCTCTAAACCGCGATGTGTTTCACGGACAGCTGGAGAAAGGGGCTTGCAGTTCCACACAAGACCTAAGGCACGACATCTCCTGGGTAACAGCCGGAGATCGTCGTTTCCACACAAAAACAACAAGGGAGGCTGCTGGTAGGCAGACACCGCATGGTACACGCAGCGTTGACGGCGAAGAAGGACACGCCGCCTGCACCGCTGGGAACATTTTACTTTCCAGCTTTCCGGGCACCGCCTCACTTGCCAAAGTTTCATACAGGGTGGCCGTGGCCAGCGCCGCCCTGTGCACTGTAAGTGGATAGCTCTTCCGTCAGAGTACCCCCGCACTTCGTAAGTGGATTTCTTGATCCTGATGTCGGTGATCTCCGCCGGTCCCCCAGCAACGCTGTCGCAAGTACTCCCACTATTTATGGCGAAGCTCTATGAAAGGGCCGGGCGCACGGCTCTGGAGCGCCACCACCGCGTCGCTGCTCCCGGCAGACATCTCTTCCATTCTCCAGCCGTGAGATCGGCGGTCCGCGTGCAGTGTTACCGCCGGTTCGAATTAAGGGTGTCTTGCGCGCGGCGCGCACCTGGCGCACCTACCTCTGGAGTAGCGCACCTGGTCAACCGCCGAGGAGGAATCATACAATGAAGGAGCAGGCAAAACCCATTCTTCTCTCCCGTAGAAATGAGTCTGCTCGGGTGCTCTTATTGCGGCAGCGACAGTTACACAACCTTCCTTGTGCCCGAGGTTATCACCGATCCTGCGGGCGCCGGCGCGCCCCTGCTTTCCGTGCAGATTCGCTGTCTTACCTGCTCCTTTGATTAAGCGGCACAGTTTCCCCGCGCGGGCCCTTTCCCCGCCGATAACACAGCGTGCTTGTGCACGCGACATGAAAGCACGACTACGGCGTGTTGTTCAGTCTTCGCGCGCCGCGCGCCGACTTGTGGGGTACCCTTCTGGCGGAAGCCCTCGGCTGCGCTGGGTGGTGCCACCGCCTGCTCCACACGCATCCCCTAAGGAAGTACATCAACGGATTACCACGCTGCCAACACGTCTGTCCTTCGAGCGCGATTATACTTGCCAGGTCTGTGTAAAGTGGGCAATGCGACCGCGGACTAGGCGGGCTGACCGCCGGCTAACGCCTGGCGCAGCAGCACCTCCCGGGTCACATGGTGATGTCGCCGAAGAGACCAAGCGGTGGAATTGCCCGGCGCTCGCGACCTAGCAGAGGGACGGGATACTACTTTGACTGCACGGCCGAAACCCGCACGCCGACGACACGCGGCTCCGTTCCTCATTCTCGACAGTAGCAAAACGAGGCGTGCGTGACTAGCAAAGGGGACGAAACGGTCTTCTACTCGAATGATACAACCGGCCGGTGCTCTATGCCCGGGGGTGTCGCGTTTTATCTAGAAGCCTTGCGTGTTACACAAGGACAGCTACCAGCAGGTGGATAGCTAGATCTCCGTGCACACGTTTAGGGACGCGCGTATATCACGCGCATATATGAGTCCAGCAGACAGGTCGCTGTGCGCTCGTGCACGTGTCTACGTACGCATATGTCCCGTACATACATGTACGTGTACGTATATATATATATATATATATATATATATATATATATGTATGTGTGTCAGCACAGGGATATCGTCGGCCTTGGTCTATTCATATATGCATAAGTATGTCCTGCAGCATTGCATTACTGGCGGGGTGCCTGGTTCACTGCCAACAGGTACGCCAGCGCATATGGTCCGCGCAAGGATGGGGCCTTGGCATCACTCACCTGGTCATTATCCTTTGAGGTAGGGGGGTCAAGAAAAAGACACCGAAAGTTGCCCTGCGGCACCTGAGAAACGGAAAATGTACACAGGCGCATTTTATCGTCAGCCTTAGTCGGCGACATTCTCAAACCTGGAAATACGAATTGCCTTTATGCATCCTCAGTTCCGTGCGTGCAGAAGAGAGCTTCCACAGCCCAGAGTTCCTGTAGAGCCGCCTGGCGCGGAGGCCCCTCTCCCCCTCCATGGCCTGTCGCCTCCTGTGCAGATTCCTGAGCTGCTTTAGCTGAGCAAGCAGCGGCCGCCCTTCGTCAGCGGTAGCATCGGCTGCTGCCTGAGTCCGCAATTATGAAATTTATCTTTATCTCGCGGTACCTTGGCTTTCTTCTGAGAATGAGCCCTCGCGACCGCGTAGGCAGCGCTAAGCTTAGGTAGCCTTCTCCCCTCAAAAACTGCGGTTCCACACGTAAAGAGCGCCTGTCAACCGCGAAGGTTGCACTAGGCTTTGATAGTGCATCCCGTTACGCGGCTTATATCCTGAGAAGTGCCTCATCCGCCGCGAGTACAATCTTGGAGTGCAGCACACACTAGATGGCAAGCAGCTTGTGCCGTGGAGGGAAGCGGGCGGAGCCTGTACTACGTCTGTACGATCGCTGCATCGTTCGCCCTGGATACAGTCGTGCAGTGTAGCATACAGTGCATGGCAACGAGCTTTGGCGTCGAGGGGGATCGAATAGTGGCTGTACCAAGTTTGCCAAATCGTGCCTGTAGCTCAACAGTAAGCTCACATGCGTCAGCCACGCTGTTGTTCGTGTGTGACGCGGGAGGGCAAGGGTAACAGGGCGCGGGCGCACCCCCACGTGCAGGCAAGCAAGCACAGAAACGTGAACAGAAGGCTTTCAAATGACCGTATCTCTTTCATGCATTGAACAATGATAGAAGACACTGCCGATCCTCGAAGCTATCTGGGTATCACTGCGCGTGTCGCTGTGCTGGTCTGTTCTTTTCCTTACCGCAGTACTTCGACACCTCTGCCAAGCGCGTCCACAACCGGACGAGCCCTGAGTGGGGAGACTCACCCCGCACCGGCTACACTCCCTACGAAGAAGTACTCCCTCGATAGATTAACCTCTGCAGCCACCTGCAGGAGCTCTTGTACGCGAGATACACTTTACCAGCGACCACCCGCGCCCTCAGCTGAGTTGTTAGTTGGCCGGTTTCAGTGGTGCCCTACTGCGTGGCTACGCGACGCAGCCCCTGTTCTTCCACAAGTGCGAGAGTTAGCCGAGCATCGAAGTGCGGCCGTCTGTGGCAACGAGGCTTCCTAAACGTGTTTGCGTCTCTTTGGGGCAGCAAGAGCAGGTCCGCGCCGCCATAATTTGCGAAGCGTATAGTGTAGTTTGCATGACGTGGTGACTGGGTGCGACAGCGAAAGCCACACGACACGACAGCACGCTTCAAAAAACTGCTATCATCGTTGCTGCCTCCCTACACCGGAAAAACTCGAAACACGCGCATACCTGCTGCCCGGCCTTTGCCACGCGCAGGGACGCGGAAAAGGTGTCCGAGTGCGTGCGCTAAGACGTGCGAACGCCGCATACCATCCCAGTGCCTGCGCTTGGACGGGGTTTCCAGGCGCAGGGACGTCGGAAAGGTGTCCGAGTGACTACTCTCGGACGCGCGGACGCCGCATACCATCCGCAATACACCGGTGAGAGCATTTTCGTATAGTCTCCATAATGCCTCCGCATGTGCAAAGGAGTCGACGTCGGCGTGCACAGATACGGGTTCTGCGGCGCATTAGCGACGGCTTTCGCTGAGCCGCCCGCGTGTACACGCTTCGCGCTATGCGGGCGACAGAAAACGAGGTTTTGCATAACTTGGAAGACACCGAAACTACACAGGATTATCTCCTCTTTTGCTGGGTCCATGAGCACGATATGCATATGTGCTCCACACGAGTGCTCGTGGGGTAAACGCGTGCTTGAAGGAGGCGCGCCCCGGGAAGATCGGCCGGGAGACACCTCTTCGCTCTGTGCACCCCCTCGTAGGGCCCCATACTGCGACGCAAGCCTTAGGTATCACCGCGCACGAACAAAGTATGTACACCACCACACCAGGGCGAAGAAGGTAGGAAACTTTCTGAACGGCTGAGAGTGGTGGCTGGAAACCGAGATCCACAGCCTGCGTCGTCCGTGTCGCTGTGGTGGAAGTTCACACAGGTCACAGTGAGCCCGGTAGACCGGAGTGTTCCCCGAGAAGATACTGCGCTCTGGAAAGGTGGCAATTACCCGCGCGTTCCGCAAAAAGAGCCGGTACGCAGGGCGATGAACGCGCGGTCACGAACGGTCGAACCCGCGCGCCCTTTGTCCGTCTTCTCTACCATTATTGGCTCCCGCCGCCACGCGTACGCGCTGTGTCAGTGAATATGTAGTGATAGAGGAGCCAGCCCGCGAGCGTCCGCTCAAACACGTCGGCGGTGGAGCAAGGGGTTACAGACAGCTGGTGTGGCAGTACACAAATAGTCGGCGGTACTTTTATATATGAATGTGACCCCAGGATAGAGTTCCGGTGCGCCTGTCGCACGCATACACGACGCGGCTTCCTCATATAGATATATACAAGGCTGCAGCTGCAGCGGACGCGGCGCACGTGACGGCTGACACGCCAGGGCGGCAAGCGGAAGAAGTCTACGTCTGCGCACCTCGTCCGCGGGTGGCCGGCACGCGTGCAACACTTGCTCATAGGGATGCCTACATCTTGCGAACTTACTCTTATACATATTTCTACAAAGAGCGCCACTTAGGCCACGAGCGCGTGTGCCGCACGCCCTACTGACGAGGCCACGATGTACAAGATAGTAGTGCCGACTGTACTATTAGTCTCAAAAGAACCGCGGAGGCAGCGTTTTGCTGCCGAACGCACGCCATAATGCAGCGGCTGCCTCCGTACCGTGTGCGGCACAGGACAAATTTTCGTACTACACCTGAGAGCGCCCTGCTTATTATAAGTGAGAACACAGCCGAGATCTGTGCCGCTTACGTACGGTGCCGCCGTCCACAATCTCAGAGCATCTGAATGCGCCCTTGCAGTTTCTGCACCCGGCGGCTGCAGCATAAGAGACGTGCAACACAATGACGCAGGGTACGAACAAAAAAACAGCAACCCTGTACGCGCGCTACAAAAGGGTGATAGCGCACCTCGGAGAGATCTTCTTTTCATCCAGTGCTGACAATTTCCGTAGCAGCTGCAGATGCAAAGGTCTGCGTTTTTGTACCGCCGGGCACGTCGGCTTCCCTGCGCAGTGGGCGTATCCACAACTGCTTCAGTATACATCTCCTGTCACCCGGCAGCGCGCACAGTCTGACTCAACTACCCCACACGTACGCCACTACATGGGATTGGCACGCGCACGCCACCAATTCGGCCCGGCGTCCAAGGCTGCCCATCACTGCCTTTAGCCTTCTAGAGCTCGTGTTTGTAGGTAGTAGCTGTTTCTGCAAGGGCTACACTCCTGCTTCTGCTTCGCAACGAGTTGGCTGCGTGAATTGTGGACCGGCAACATTTTCTCACCCCACCTACACCACCAGCCGCCGCCGGCGACTCGCTAGGTGGGGGCTGGTCTTGGTATCCGTGATACCAGCTGTGCTTGAAGTAGATTATCCGGACTCCGCTTGTTCGGGCAGCCAGACGAGTGCCACATGCGAGGCTACAGGGACGCGTACCAAGAGTCACACACCGTGGCACTTCCTCACAGAGCTGGTAAGTACCGCGCACAGAGCACTGCAAAGACAGTTGCTCTTGTTTACAATGCCAGCTGCGGCGGAGTCTCGCTCACAACGTGCGATGCCTCACCACATGTGCCGGTACTCCAGCACAAGCAGGTAGAACAGCTTTAGTCCACGGAAGCGTTTTTGTGCAGTACTCTGCCGTTCATGCTCGCAGCCAGGCGCGTGCAACCGAACAATGTCCTGTATCAGGAAATGGCCTACCGGCGTGATACCCTCCACGTGTAGAAATTCTGCAGCGCCCGTCCGCGGCAGTCGCCTACAACAGTGGTGGACCCGGGGCGGCCGCACTTGCCACGTGACAGTTTTTTACAAAGAAGAATGCAGTATATCTTGTAGCGTGATTTCTATCGAGCAGCAGACCTTGAATTTACTGATCTCCCCCGGTGCGTTTGCTTGCAGGTGTTCGCTTCTATGACTCCATGGTGGTAGTGGGCCGGCTGTTGTGACTGCGGTCTAGGGTGATGTTCGCTCTGACGCTCAGAGGCCGCCGCGCTACCGTCTGCTGCTGAGGAGATCCGCCGGGCTGCGCAAGCTGCTCTCTGAGCCAGGGCGGCAGAGCTCGCGTCTCGCTTTATCCTCTCGCTCTGCCCCTGCTGTGCTAAGCTAAGCAGGGCCGGCGTCCGTCAGTGCAGCTGAGCGTCCTGCTGCAGCTGCCGCAGCAATTGCTGCTGTTCTTTACGACGTGTATAAGGATAGTCCAGCCGCTCGGCCTGGCGAGATCTTTCGGGTGGCAGGAATTACAGTGAGCACCACTGAAGCCCTGGCGCCCCTGTTGCTCCTCTTCATACTCCGAGAAAACAGCAAGGTCACGCGCACCCAAGGGAAGCTTCCTCTGAAAGGAGCGCTAACGCTAACCTATTCTTGCTGCCAGGGAGCCTGGCCTCCTCCAGCCCGGCAGAACTGCAAGGCTGAGCACAGATACACCTTCTCTTCCCAGCAGGAACCCTTCGCAGTGCCCTTGTCGTGCGCGCCTGACAATGCCCCAGCCGGAAGTCGCATCATAGCTCCTTATGCTTCCATGGTGACGACCATCGAGCAAACCAACTTCGAAGACAGTTCGTTCTGTACAAGCACGCCTCAGTAAGTCGCACTGCAGAGGGGGACACGATGTCTCGACCCCGCGCCCCTACCGCTGGGAGGCGCCGTCGGGAGGTACCACTATGACTTGTGCTCCTACTTTCCTAATCGTCTTGGCGCCCGCCGCTCGACTCGGGGATACTACTTTGAGCAGAATACGGTGAAGCACACACAGCGCCGCATCTTTGCCTGTGATACCGCGCAACCTGTTTCGACGCTTCAGGCGAAACAGGCTCCTCCTTCCTCTGTGCTCCTGCGCCTGCAACAGACACTGGTGGCTCCGTGCAGTTGTTCCATAGTCTGTCGTTATTAAGGCAGCCATTGCTGCTGCGACCTCTCTGAGAAGGTACGGCCTCGACGGGGGAACTGAGTGTAGTGACGGAGCCTCATCCTAAATCCATATACTCGTGCATGCACAATGCGGCTCTTCACTCCGCCTCACTCCCCAGCAATACGCAGCAACAAATCTTCAAGCGTTCGCATGCGCATCTAACACACTTGCCACACCTGCTATGCACCTACGACGTGGCGTGGGACGGGCCCTCGACGGCCGGGCACATGTCTTGACAGTGAACTGCCGCTCCCGTCTACATGCAGGAGCGTACGCACGAATCACAGCAGTGGCGAACAGTGCGTGTTCAAGGGTGTTCAAGTACGTGGTCGTCGGCTACGCTCGAAATTCGGCCCCCGTCCACGGGCTTCACTTAACAGTCACAAATACCCATTAGCCCACAATCGCACGCCGAAATCTCAGCACATGCATATCCATATATGAATATACCCACATATATGTGTACAGAGACGTACACGGCTGCATCTGCCACTCGGTAAAGCAGCATTCACATGTCGCGTCAGTCCAAGCCCACAAGGAAATACACGCAGATACACCTCTGCGGGTGAGTTCGTGTGAATTTGCGTACACGGGAACCAACGTTCTATGCTGTGTGGTATAAAACTCTTCGTAGGCCGATGCACGCATGTAGGTTTCTGCCGAAGTTTTGGGTATACGCGTGGCGGTGGTCCAGATAGGCGGGACCCCACGACAGATGCACGTGGGCATGCACCCGTCTTCTGTGGTAAAGCTGTGTATGCTCTTATGAAGCCGCATGCACGCATGCGTGCCAGCATCCTCGTGCATGCGCACGCAGGTCTCCTGAGGGCAACATCGCAGAACTTGTTCCTCATACATCGCAGCCGCACAGACTTACCGAGAAGCAACGCCCTCCCGGCAGCGTGTGACCTGTCGACGGAATGCAGTACCAACGCTGGGAAAAGCGACAAGGTCACAGCCACAGACGCAGCAGCAGCGGTGTCTGCGTTAGCCAGCTCCGAAGCAGCATCGCCAGCTACGGCTGCCGCCGCAACAGCGACCACCACGCGGGGACCCGCGCCGGCCAGTACGAACATTAGTGGGAGTAGCAGCAGCCGCGGTAGCGGCAGCACCAGCTGAAACAGCAGCAGTACAGCAGCAGCAGCACAGCAGCAGCAGCATGACCGAATACAGTGGCAAGAAGCACAGGAGCGTAGCCCTCGACAGCTGCGCGTACAGGCCAGTGGCCAGAAGTAACCGTCGTTAGCGCGCGAATTCCTCAGAACACAAGCCGCAAGAGAAAGAGGTGCGCCGGCGAGCGTTTCACTAACATTCCGTGCGCGCCGGCAGAGACGCAGCCACCTGGCAGCACGCGGCACGCGCGCCAGAAATGCTCGCCGCGGGTCGCGCCGAAACAAGGGATCACATGCCACGAGGCGTATTCTTAAGTATCTCTTTTTGTGTGTCGTGCTGTAGTTTACAGCGGTTCTAGCTGCGGTGCTGTGTGTAGACGTGTAAACACCAGATCGAGTGGCGCGGTCTTTCGCACCCGCGTACACGGTCTGGATAAAGAAAAGCTCCACGGACGTCCCCGTTTCCCGATGTCTGCTTACGTACATATACGTAGCTACGAAAGATTCCGCATACTTCCGCATAGATGTACGCTCACAAGTACGTAAAAATGTGGAGTTATGTGCAAGCGTTGCGAGTTTCTACTTGTGTTCAATCTCTGTAGAGGTGCCTAGTCCTACGCAAGATCGCGCCTAAAGCAGATGGCTGCTGTTACTGCCTTCTCGACCCTCCGAAAACGGCTGGACACACGCGTGCGTCCTGACAGGCATTCTCATAGTTTACTTGACCCCTTACGGCCGGGGTCGACTCCGAGGCAGTTTGTTGGCCGCTGCTGCTGCTGCCTGCGTGAGCGTGCTATAGGTGTATCGCTGCCGCTCTTCGAGCAGCTTCCACCTGCCACGCCCGGCTCACAGCAAGAACAACACGATACTCTGCAGCAGATGCTTGCACCGGCGCCCGCTGTCGGTACTTCTAGCTAGCGCCTATCACCTCCCTTCTGCCGCCAGCGTAAAGCCCCATACGGCAGCAGTAAACACGGAGAATGCTATTCCTCTCACTTCTGGCTGTGCTAGGCTGCTGCTGTCGAGATCGAGCGTCACCCCAAGCTTTGCCAGGACAATTTACATTGTATGCCAGAGAGTAAGCGCCACACAACTGTTCTGCTGCTGCCGTTCCTCCAGCGAATGCCGCCGCGTCCACCGCTGTGCGGCTGTTATAGCGCAGAAGAGACTCATCGCCTGCATGGTAGCTTTTGCTGTCGCTGCTGCTCCGAAACAAGCTTCTGTGAGTGCTACCATGCGTGCTGCCGCTTCTTCCGCGCGCCCTAAAGGCGCGTGCGGCAGTGGCGGGTAGCGGCGGCAGATTTTCCTCTCCTTTCATAAAAAAGAATGACACAGCGTCTCGCAACTGATTCTCCGGCCGCGCACGCGTACGAGATGGCGGCACGTATGTAAGGCTCCCCTCCCCACAGCACCGTTTTCAGTCTCTTAGGTGCTGCTCATGCTGATGTAATATATGGTCGGCATCAAAATGCATCGACGTCTTCTCTCGCGTTGTCTCTCGGTCTACATATACGTACCTGTCATACACTCACCGTCACCCACATGCATAGGAAATACGCATTTACAAGCGTGCATATGCGTTCCCTTTATTGGCATGTTTATAGACGCACCTGCACCTGTGTGCTGCATATATTTGGCGGCTGGCAGCAGAAAGGAATTCACAAGCCTGTTCAGACACTGGGACGGAGAGCAGCAGCAGCAGCATGCATGTACTTGGCTTGCACCGGCACCGTCTGTACTATACAACTAACGATAGGAGCAGCATCGCAGGTCCAGCTGCAACCCGTTCCGATCCCCATATCATGTAGCCTTGCGGCTGTAGGCTTCGTGATGCCGCACGAGGTACCACGTTTCCCAGTCCCGCCTAGCAGCAGAGCAGCGTCAGCGACGGCACCGACAACCTTGAAGACTCGAGCGTAGAAACGTATACGTATATGAGCGTGCGTAATTCGGCAGGTGCTGCAGCACCAACGGCGGCACAAAGCTAAGGCCCCTGCTGATATTGCAGAAGCATCAGGAGAACAGCGGTCTAGCTGCACCTGGATCACTAATACCGCTGCACGATCCGGGGAGAGGACGGTGGCCCACCAGTTACACGTGCTCCCCGTGAATATGTGATAGGAGTTGCATGCCTACGCATAAGTCTATGCCCTCCAGTAAATGCGGTATATGCTGCATGTCTCTGCGGCCGTGGACGCACGGCGGCCTCCTGCATCGTATATACGTGCACCCATATAGAGGCAACGTATGTACGAAGAAAGGTTTACAAAACTGCCCCCAGAGAACGTCAAGCGACATACAAGAGCTATTATAGCGTGTAAGACAGCCGGTTCCGCTGCCTGGCTTGTGCCTTTTTCGCTGCCGCTGCTGGCATCCCCAACCGCGAAAGAGGCCAGAACGGTGCTTCCCTCGTATCCGCCTCACGAAGGATTCTCCGTGATAGCAGCAGCAGCAGCTGTGGCAGCGACAGCAGCAGTCACCGCGACAGCGGCGGCAACACAGCAGCAGCAACAACGAGAGCAGCAATATCAGTAGCAGAGTCCCAATGGAGACTGCGGCGCTTTCGCCCGCGTGATTCTGTGTGCGTGCCCGTGAAACACTACACACGCACTAGTACAAACGGCGACAGGCACTGCAGTGCCCCGCACATACAAGCGGCTCCGAGGGAATGCTTCCAGGAAACCAAGTCCCTACCACACTGGCAAGCAGCAACTGGTATTCTCTCTCTGTTTTCGTCTCTCTCTTCACACACACATAGCTGTGTATACACAAAACAGAGAGAGAGGTACCTCATGCGTATATGGAAGACAGAGCGCAATACTCAAATACGTATTTAGCGGGTCAGGGTGAGTAGGACTTTCACACACTTAAGGAGGTTTACATATATACATGTGTGAACGTAGAGTTGTGTAGGGGGGTCGTACAAATGCGCATGTTCATCGAGAAATATATATATATATAGATATAGATATAGACATAGATATTCATGTCTGCACGAACGAGTATCTCTATGCGAGGTTTCCGTATGCGGACGTGCATATGTAAGCGGAAGGCTTCTGCACCGGTGGATAGTTGACACAGAACAATCGTTGGCTCGCTGATGCTCTCTGTGGTACTGCTTATCGGAGAACTGTCTTAGCATGGCCTCAGACCCCGTAATATATATATATACATATATATACGCATACATATATATGTATGTGTGTAGGCATTTCTGACCGAAAAAAACGTACGCGTATATATATATATATATATATATATATATATGCTTCGACAAGTAGAAATATACGAACCTGTGCAGCGGAATCCGAGGCAGGTGCGCCGAGACGATGTTTTGACCCCGTAGGTGTCCCTTCGATATCATTTATATGCAGGCCCTTGCGAGGTCGCTGCACACGTTCGAAACCCGCAGCACACCGACTGTAAGCACAGCCCCGTAGGACCGAGCCACCTAGCAGATTCGCTACGCAGCTCGGAAGCGGCCAGCGTTGTAACCATCATGATAGTCACCCACGTAAACGGAAGCCAAGCCCCGGCGAAGTGCTCGAAAGTAATTAGGCACCAGTTTCAGTCGTCTCCGTACAAGCAAGCTGCCTCTCCGGCGACAACAAATTCAACTAGCACATTCGTCCACAGAAAGACAATCAGTTTGGACCTTCATCGCCTCAAAGCCTCTGCCGTGTCGGTGGCGGGGAGACAATATCAGGTGACGGCTTAGGCCGGGCCTCTGGGGAAGCGCCCTCCCCTCGCTGGTACGGTGCGCTTTGATGAATGCGGTGTCATCCCTACCCTGACAAGAGGGATCAACTGGGAAGGTGCACACCTAAGGAGACTGCTGCTGCCACTAATCAGTCTCGTATGTTGTACTTGGGCTCCAAGGCTTCATCATCATAGAACTCCCAGGGGCGACGCTTGGCGCGCTGCAGACCTGTGGAGCAAGCTCTCTTCAGCTCTGTGAGTGTACTGGAGCGGCGCAGGGTGCCTTTCGTCTGCGTCCTCTCCGGAGCAGCTCTGCAAAGATTCAGGCGGCGCCCCCCTCCACAGGGAAGGACGAGGACACGGGCCGTTTCGCTATCAAGCGTGGCCCTAGTGGAGGCTCGGGTGGACACCGCGGCCCGGAATGACGTACGACAAACGTGTCACTGTTTTTAGAACGGACATGGCGAGACGTAGGCACGAACGCAAAGACAGACGTAGGAAGCGGAGCGCGCCTATGCGAAGACCCGAATACAACACGCTCATTAAGCAGAGGCGACGTGATCCGCCATGTACGGTCCCGCATGCCTGCAGAGAACGGGCCAAGCTTCTGACGCGCATACACGCGTAATCCGGCCGACGGAGTGGCGCACCTCTTCACTCGCCATGAGTATTTGCAAGGAAACGGACACAAATGCTGGAGACGCCACTTAGACACGTACTAATAGGCATGATAGAAGCCAGAGGAGGAGAGAGCGCAAGGGGGCGCCCTCTGCTTGTGCATCTACATACAACCCGCCGCGATGCACGGTAGCTGTACATCCTGCTGACTCTTGAGCTGTTCCTCCCTGAGGGCAAAGCCAGAGTATCATAGTACCAGGGTGCAGTGCGCATTAGACCTATGGTCCTTCGTACGAGGTGGAGCAGCCTGCGAAGTAGGCGTCCGCAAAAGAAAGAAGATGGCGGCCGCCAGGAGCCGAAGCTCTGGGGGCTTGATCCCTGATGTCTCCTTCCAAGTCACAGCGACCAAGCCCTGACCCCTACGTGGTTCACTCTACCCAATTGCTTCGCGGTGCCCATGTAGAAGTAGGCGTATATGAGTGGCGTGGCCCTGCAAGCCACATTAGCTGAAGTCTGACCTCTACGATATTTACTTTTCCGCACTGCTTTGCTGTCCTCATCGGCATGAAGCCACACGTCTCAGTGGCTTCCAAAGCAGAACCAAACCCATGTCCTGGTGTCGCTGTGCAGGATTGACGCCGGCTCGACTGAAGGCTGCCTCAAACTGCTGAACGCTGCCCTGGGCCGCTGGGAGAAGCAGACAACAAGAAAGGAGGAGTCGCGGATCCTCCTGGTTCGACAGTTAACAGACGAAAGAACGACTCAGGGTGGTGCGTATATACATTGCCTTGACAAGATGCGCGCGCTTCTAAGGCTCGGCGACGTGTGTCTACGCGTTGATTCTGTGAACTGGGAAGAGAAGGTTACTGTAACTTCTCATTCTTTCAGGCATGAATGGTCTCGGTCATACGTTGTGATAGTCGCGTATATACGGGCCGCACCTCGAGAGGCGTATGGTGGAGGCGTCTTAAAAAACTCTGCACAGCTTCTTGCTGCCGCTGCCGCTGAAAAGATATTAGAGGTCAGTTGGGCTTCCGCGATCGTGACTGCATGTCCCTCAGCAAATTCTGTCTTATTTCCACATGAAAGTGGATCACGCCACCAATCGACAGAATTGCAAGAACCCCCACAAGAAACCACCACACCAGTCCACATAGAACACGTGGGGTGACTCGGTGGGCTCTCGACCTACGAGCCACTATCTCTAGTGTGCGTATTACAGCTGCTTTAGACCCCGTTTCCGACGAGCTTGCCGACCCCGAGTCCGCGCGTGTTGCTTCGCGCTTGGCCCGTGGCGGTTTAGCTTTCGGCTGCCTTCTTACCCATACGTCAGCCGTTTGCCGTACTCGTTTACTTACTCTACGTGTTTTTAGGCGTGGGGGGTTCAATCGTACGAACTGTAACTCCGCGTCGAAGCGGGCGTCTTCAGCTTCAACACCTCCGACCGCTGTAGATACACCAGCAAACACTCTACCGCCTGTGGTGTGGTCGCCATCAGGTGCCGCTGAAACACGTGCGTCTTCGGCTTGTGTATGGGGCGCCGAAGAGCTACAACCCTGTCTTTCATCTGCGGAGCTGCCACCCTGAGAGCCGTCTGCGCCATAGCTGGCCTGTATGGGCGCACGGTCTTCTCCGGGCCTGCTGCTTGTTGCCCTCTCCCGCGTACGCATGGATGCATCGTCGCTCTGAGCATCTGCGTCCCCCTGCGTTCTCTCAGCTGCCGTGCCCCTGTCCGTAGTGGCGTCGACTGCTGTGGGTTCTCCGGCGCGCGGGAGCGCCGTTGTAGAGCAAAGATGCGGCAAGGATCGACTTGATGTAGGTCCTTCAGGTTCTGCTGAGACTTTCACTTCTCCACTCTCACTGGTGCTCCAGCCCGATGCCGACAATGGTCCGCCTCTTTTGTGTCGCTGCTGTGCAGCGGCTTCGGAGCAGTCGCCAGAAGAAGACCTGGCAGTCCTGTCGACTCGGGGCTGCTGGTGCGCCGGCTGGGCTGGCTGCTGCTGCTGCTGTGTCTGGTGTTGCAGCGGCGTCGGCTGTACCTGCTGCTGGCGTGGCTCCTGCTGTATCTTATGTTGCGGCTGCTGCTGCTTCTGCTGTGCAGCGGCTTCGGAGCAGTCGCCAGAAGAAGACCTGGCAGTCCTGTCGACTCGGGGCTGCTGGTGCGCCGGCTGCGGTGGCTGCTGCTGCTGCTGTGTCTGGTGTTGCAGCGGCGTCGGCTGTACCTGCTGCTGGCGTGGCTCCTGCTGTATCTCATGTTGCGGCTGCTGCTGCTGCTTCTGCCGTAGCTGGTGCGGCCGCGGCTGCGGCTGCGGCTGCGCCAGGGGCTGTGGCTGCTGCTGCGCCAGGGGCTGTGGCTGCTGCTGCGCCAGGGGCTGTGGCTGCTGCTGCTGCGTCCTCTTCTGCATCGAGTGTCGATTCTGCTCCATCGGCCGCTGCGTCTCTGGCACCGGCCTCTGCTCCATCCACGGCTGCTGCTGCTCTCCCAGCTTCTGCTGCTGCTGCTGCTGCTGCTGCTTCATTCGCCTCCGCAGCTCCTGCTGCTGCTCTTCCATCTGCCTCCGCTGCTGCTGCTGCTGCTCCTCCTGCTTCCGCTGCTCTCTTTCGGCTGCGGCGTCAGACGGCCCCCATAGCCCATAAAGATGAGGACCAGTAGACCAATAATCATCCGCAATGGGGGTTTCCGGACTCTGGCGAGAGCTAGTTTCAAAACAACAGGGATTTTCACGTCGCCTGCTAGTGGCAGACAGACCACACGGAGGAGAACTTGGGAGAGATTCAGACAGAGCGGAAGAAGGGACTATGCCGAAGATCCCTTGCCGTTGCGAGGCACGACTGGCAGAACCGACAAAATCAGCGCTCTGTGGCTGTTGCGCTGAAGTCTCACGAGTCACGGCATATATCGTCAGCAGGGCGGATAGGAACCAACTCTGGGCCTCTGAACAACTGTTCAAGAAAGTTTGTAGCAGCCGCGTGGAACAAGTGCACGACGGACCTGGTAGACCTGTGGATAATGAACTCGTATCCCGCGAATGCATACATGGATGCGTCTGAACCGTAACAGGTGTTTCCTTAGATGTGTCTCAAGCATATGCGGGTGTGTTACAGTCCCACTGTCGCCTCGAGGTCTCGCTGCCGGTTCTTCCCCTCGAGCGGCTGAAGCAGCCAACTTCGGCTGGTCGTGTAGCCCCGGTTGTACTAGCGGAATATGCAGACCGTCCCACCATAACAACGCAAACGACCCCGAGAAGAATCTCCAGCAGAGTATGTACGAGGCAGAGGAGTACTTTCATCATCATGACCAGGAAAACTGAGCGGCAGTTCTGCTGGAGAACTCCTTCGCAAACCATACGAACCTTGGACAGAGTCGCAATGCAGTGGCAAACAGCTTCTGCAAGCTGAGCTTGAGTCACCTCCCCTACTCTCCCCAGACCTCCTAGATGCACGGGAGAGGGCACTCTCCCGTGCAGACTGGGTACCCGCTGCTGGCTCGGGTTCGCCTAGAAACCTCAAACGCGCCGGTGACAAACTCGCATGGCTAGTGCTCGTAAACTGGTACGCAGGAGCCGAAGAAAAGGTCGACGTCGCCGAGGTAAGAGCGACCGTAAAACACTCCCGCAACCTCTGCAAGCGGGGCGACGGCGGTAAGGTAGGAGATCTCCACTCCTCGCGATGTGGATGCCGAGAAGCCGAGGGCATATTCACGTAAGAGCGAGACGAACTCGGCGACTGGAACTGGGACACTCGTGCAAGACGTTCCATAGCATCACTATGAGGTCTTGGCGGCCTCGTTCCGGGTGCGTTTCGCGCAGCATGGGTGCTGCTCGTGGATGGCGGTGGCCTCCGGTAGGGCCCAGCTGCAGTATGGGAAGCATGCTCAGGCAGGGCTGCGAATTCCATAGAAACTGTGAAGGCGTATAAGCCGTTCCCGTTGCACCCCCGGCGACACGGGACTTCCCTCTGGCGACGGTGCGTCGTCCTCTCGAGAAACGACCCGGCCACGGCGACTTGAAAAATTCCGTATGTCTCTGGCGTCCTGCCAGCTGAAGGAGCCGGCGGGCGAAGCGCTGCGCTCCTGGATGTGCAGGAATAGGGTGGCAAACGGTGAAGGAACTTCTTGCGTACCCTGTAAACCTACGCCTTCATCTGATCCGCCGTCTGCGTCGTCTTGAACCCGCGTGTGACTGCCGAGCCTTCTTGTGTCCGCGCCATCCTCGTGCTGGGGGCGCCTACGTAGTGTCTCTCGGAGCCCTTGGACAAGAGGGGCACCTGCCAAAAACAATGATTTCAAATCAGTAACGGCCGCATCACCTGAGCCTGAGCTTGTTCCGCTTTGCCCTACACCGCGCACAGTGGCTTCTGCCGTGCCTCCCCCACCCGCGTCTTCTCTAGAAGTAGGAACAGGCGACGAGAACAGCTGGGTGGGGGGTTCAGTATGTGGAGAGGTGCTTTTCTCACGAGTCGCAGATGGCCTCCCAAAACAGGAAAGGGCTCCGCTGCTTGTGACCTCTGCGGCGGGATCACTGGAATCATCAGCAACGGGATGGCACAAAACATGTGCTTTCTCAGCTTTAGCTGAGTACAGTTCCTTGGCGTCAAGTCCGCCACGGTCGAAGGCTTTAGATTTCGATCCGTACCCTGAAAGAAACAGAGCTGCAACGCCTGCTTCCTCCTCAGAAGTTGGTGCAGGTACTTCCCTCGGAACGCGTTCGGCTATCGCGGCCGTTTCCGCAACAGGTGAACTCGCCTCCAACGCTGCTTCGCCCCAGTTCGATAGAGGCGACGCCGAAGGAGCGGCTGCGGGACTTTTTCCTCCGTGAACCTCTTCTTGCTCGTGCAGGACGGTTTCCGAAACAGGAGACGGGATACGAAACGGGGAAAAATGATGGAAAGAAGAGTACAGACTTTGGGGGGAATCAAGTGACCCGGCTGGTCGGAGAGGATCCGGGCTGTCTGGATTCTCCGGAGTGTCTTCTGTGCAAGGACGTTCCGAGGTGCCGGTTACATCCTTCAGCAAAGCTTCGCTCGAAAAGCTGATCGCGGTGTTGGTAAGAGAATCTATTCCTCCGTTTCTTCCTGAGGACGTTTCCACAAAGGTACTGGCAACATCTTCTAGCTCCTCGCTGCCTTGGGTGAGACTTGCGTGGGGAATCCTTGCGCCGTTGAAAATTGCAGACAACGTGGTAAACAGCAGAAACTGAGACAGCCGCATCCACTTCCATCTGCGCCCGTCCCCCATGAAGTGGTAGCCCCGACTCACACCCGAATATCCACATTGACTTTGGCGCTGAGCGCGGCCCGCGCTATGGCGCGAGGCAAGCGCAGCACGTTGTCTCATCGTGGCTGCTGTCCATAGGAAACCCAAGTACAGATAATGAACATTGTCAGCATTGAAGGCTTCCGAAACCTTGTGGTGGTCCCAGGTGCACGTATGCTGCGTGCACGTGGTGAGCCGGGCTGCTAGCTTTAGACTGATGCGGCTCAATGGTGGGAGCAGAAAAGCCCTGCGGTTCGCCAGTGGAGGAACTCGGACCCTGGCGGAACCGGCTTCACAGCACCACACGTGCGCCTTCTACATGCGTACGAATGTAACGCATCCGACGGGACGCACGTTCAAAGTCCCACACGCCACGTATAGTATTCACATCAACAAGAAGTCCCTGATACCTCGTGTACTGCTATAAATATTTGATTCTGGTACGAGATGGTGTCGGAACGGCAGGCAGCGGCGCAAACCTTTTGACAAAGTGCGCGCGCGCCTCCGCGGGCGCCTGATACAATAAGATTTGCTGTTCTGTAGGCGGCAGCGCCGAGAGGCCCCGGGCGTTTTCGTGGCATGCTTGCACAGCGGGGGAGCTATCGAACGTCGGCGCCAGCTGCTGGGTCGCGTGCATGAATGGAGCGGCACAAAAATCAGAGCGACGTCGACGTCGCCAGAGGGCCTTTTGGAGGAGAAACAATTAGCGGGGGAAAGAGTAAAACTGTGTCAGTATAGCCGCCGCCTGCGCTCTTTTCCTCTACCTATTCTATGGACTGCAGAAGCACACGGGCTTGAAAAAGCGTACGGAACTGTACAGGCGCCCAGCAGATTTTAATGGAGGCCGCGGCAAATCGCAGGGACCACTGACATCTGCGTGCAGCTGTCTAGAACTCGCGCGGGTAGAGAAGTGACGACTGATAGCGTTAATTCGCGGAAACAATCGTTAACGCTGCTATGCGTCGAACCTCACACTCCGGGGGTCGCTCACCAGAGCCACGTAGTTGCGGTGATATGTCGTGTGTCTTACGCCGTCCGTCCTTGGGGGGATCTCAGCTTATTATCTACGTCCACGTGAGTCTCATGCAACAGACCGACGCACCGGTGGCGTGCCCGCATGATCTCCACTCGAAACAACACTGGACGTGCTTCTTGCTCCCCACATTCGCGGGGCGAACGCCACCACGCAGAGCCTTCCTCAACTTCTTGTACTATCGCAGTATACAGGGTACCGCCGCTTATCTCAACCCCTGCGGGCCTCATGGAGGTCCAGGGGGCATGAATGTATCATATACACGCCAGGCAAACGGAGAACAATCGTAATGCGCTGTGTGCACGGTGGTGAAATAACAACACTATCACCGGCCATATGCAGCGCAGACGTTCGTGGACGTACTACCCACCCTGTTGTGGCTGGCGTTGCAACTGTGAGCACGGGGCAGGTGCTTTTTGTCTGCTGCTGCCAGTAGGTGTGCTGCTGCCCGTGGACGGCAGCCGCAACGAAGTCGCCCCTGAGTAGAACCTGTTGCTGTAGGTGCTGAAAGGAAGGAGGTCCAATTCGGGGCGCCGCGAGGTTGTTTGCGAGAGAGGTACCCGAGGAGGATAGCAAATCTTATCTCTTGCACGCCTGACAAGGGACGCAGCGCTTTTTTATTGGCTGCGCTGCTGCGTGAGTCCGGGAAGACCATGCAAGATGTGGACAGTGTATCGGAGAACGCCACCGAAGGAACGACTGAGAGGCGACGCTTGCAGCCCTCTGCCTCTGCTCTGCCCTCTCCTTCCTAGAGTCCCCGCCTCCTTTTCTTCGAACTCCTCCTCATCAGTTGTGGTTGGCATTGCAGGAGCCGAAGTCGCTCGTGTCGCCATTTCTGTCCGACATTCTTCTGCCGGACGGACCGTATAGCACGCAGGGGGGTCTGACGGAAGAAGAACAACACCAAAAATGCTGGACAGAGCACATAGACCCTTCGACTCCCTTTCCAGACCGTACGCTCGAGGCCGACGCTATGCGAATCGAGGAGCGGCTGCGCGGACTATGCGTCCCCAACATGTTCCAACTGAGAAGAGTGGGCCTGCTGTTGACCCAGCGCAGTGGAGACGTTACTGTTTCCGTCAAAGACAGCGACACCACTGCTGGACCTCCCGTAGCGTGTCCCTGCGCTGGCGAACACGCAGTCATGGGCTGGTAGCCAGGGCTTCCGACCCTGTCATTGAGCGCACATCTGCTGCGGTTTGCCAGGTTTTTCGCCGTTTTCAGCTTTTTACTGTATAAAGGGCATTTCACCAATAATTGGAATTAGAGGTGGTCCTCCTGGAGCACGGAGCGCCGCCGCTCTATCTGTACCGAGAGCCTTCTGCAGCTGGCTGACCGCGAATCACGTCGGAACAGGTAGTGTTGGACGTGGCTCTCTTCGACAGAGCAGAAAGAAGTGTCTCTCGCGCGGGCGACGGCTTTGTGGCGTATAGGGTGCGCGGACACCGTAATGCCAGACTAAGCCCGAATAAACTGCAGTCGCGTTCAAGCGCGCCCCGCAACTCCGCACCTCCTGCCTGGCGGCCCCTGCAGTGTGCTGCTGCGCACAGACATAATAGCGCGGTGGCCGGCAGCGTTGACGTGGTTCGCGTCGGCCCAGATCGAAACAACAAGAGGTGGGCAGCCGGCTACGGAGCAGAGTGTGATGACCATGGGGAGGTCACGGACGGTGGCTCGCCCACAACACCTAGTCCCCTGCGCGCGGCAAGACAAAGAAAACTACTCGATGATCACCCGTGAACACGGATCGCAGCCAGCGCTCGGGGGTGCTGCAGGCGCTTGATCCGAGCAGTGTGCAAGTAGGCCGCGCAAAGCCGCCGAAAAATCCACCAAGGTAGTGAAAGGCCCACTTTGCCGAAGTCAGGAGACCTCGCACAGCGAAGCCCGCTATGCAAGGCAGGATTCAACAGTGGTGAACGGCCAGAGAAAAGGTAGGCATAGTCGTATGTACCTGTTCACACTTGCAGACCGCGAAGTCGCTGGTGCAAAAGAGACGCATGCGGTTGCCATACTATCTCAAAATCTCCGCCACCGGAGGGCGACCACGGCGGCATGATTTTATAGGCCTGGGTATCACGTCTCCACAGGGGATAATAATACACGTTTGTGCGCCAAACAGCGGTGACCCTGGCGTGTACGCACAAGTCAGAAGACAGCGCAACGTCCGTAAAGACAGTCAAACACTGCGCCTATTTCGTAGTGTTCGGGCACCCGCCGTCCCTGGAAGTGGGGGAGCCTGGGAAGGTGCCAAGCGCTCAAGACGAGAGCAGTGGCCAGTTCTCAATGCGAAACACAGCAACCTCTCAAGCGCTGTGATGACAGAAACCAAGGTGCGGCCCGCCAGAACTGGGCGCGAACAGCGGTGTTCAAGCGTCGTCCTCTCACGTATCTGGTGCCCTATCGTAAACCTTGCCGATCTTGACGGCGGTGACCGCTGCTTGGTGTGCGACGCCAAGTAAACGGAGAGTATCCCCTTCCGGGTAACGGTATAACCCAGACGGTTCACTGTGACGAGGCGCATGCCGGGCCGCACAGCGTTCTCGTTGTGGTGTTTCTCATCGTAAGGCGCGTCTCTAAACGGCACCATATCAGCGGCCATCCGCGGTGCCCCCTTATTCGTTCCTGCGCAGCCTGCTGCAGGCCCAACAGGAGGACATTGCCGCCGTCCGTGTACGAGAAATATAGCATGCGAATGCTGCCGACAGCGGCCCGCAGTCGTCACAGGTGACGATTCAGAGGCTGCCAGAGAAGGCGTGCCGCACGAGGCGCAGGCTACGCTCACTGGGTAGGCTCCTCGCTTAACGCTTCGTGTGTAAAAGCAATGGCAGGGAACGAGGAGGAAAAACAGCGCGAAGTGTTATGCAGACTCGGTGCTTGGTAGCCGCCGCTAAAAGGCCTGCACGCTTCCAGAAGACGACTGATATGTTCTCCCGCAAGGTGGTCGGTTGCACCTTTCAGCCAGAGTGCCTCTCGTTGCGACCCTGTAGGTGTAGGAGGCCTTAAAACATTGTGCCGAACACGTCATGTTCTACGACACGCGTCTGATGTCGTAGTTCCTGCGGAAAACTGCGCACCTCTTGTATGGTGAATATGAAGAAGCTGCTCAGATCCCCATGACGGCATGTGCCGCCAGAGGGTGAGAGCTTACTGCCCTCGTGTGCTGCAGCCGTCTAGCGGGACGCCTGTGCAGTTGGAGTTCCCTTTCCAACCGTCTAGCACACCACAGGAACGCTCGCACGGCTCTCCTTGAGCGGCTGCTCGCCGTTGTGCCTCGCCTTGCAACGGTCAGACAGCAAGAGGCGTCAGAACGCTGTGCTAGAAGCGACCGCTCCCGCCACCGAAGCGCACGTCGGCCCTTTCCAGTTCGTGTCCGTCCCCAAAGTGGAGACGAATACCAGCACGCTCCCGCGGCCTTTCATTCGTCATGAACTGGGTGTACCACTCTTCAAATATATATATATATATATATATGTGTACGCGTATATGGTGGCACACGTATTTCCATCTTCCGTCAACGAACTGTACGTGACCTGCCGTAGAAAGCACCGCTGCTTCGTCTGCTAGTACCTTCTGGGAAGGAGAGACCAGTGCCCCGCTGGTGCTGGCAGACCTGATATCGTTTCACGGCCGGGAGGCTACTCACAGTTTGCAAGATTGCTTCGTCTCGCTCGCGGACGCCTCTCAGACTCAACCCAGGTCCAGCGCAGCTCCCCAGCTGGTGGGCACAACCGGGTACCGCAGCTTGGCGCGTGTACGTGTCGGTACGGCGGTTGATCGCAGCTATTCGACGCTAGCACCGTGCGTAGGTCGAATAAGGTTTTGCCGCTTTTCGCGTCCTACAAGCAGGCAGGAGCGGCGACATACGCTGTAGAAGCTCTGAGACGCCTGCTTCTACGCCCGCGTCCTCAGCAGCTGCAAAGATTGCCCACGTCGACGCCACCCGTTTCGCTGTCGCGCACAACGGTTCTTGTAGTAAGGTCTGCCCCCCTATTTCCTGCTGCTTTGTACAAACGTGGCTCGTTACAATCTTTTTGTGAAGCTCCAGATACTCAGAGTCTGTGGAGGGCACGGACTGAGCCATACCGCTATGAAGGCGGTCGGAAACGACGACGGGCCCGACCGCGTGCATTCCAGTGCACTTTGCAGCTTTACATCCTCGCGATCGCGCATGCGGTACAAGTAACTGGAATCCGCAGCGGCATGCCTCGACACGGAAAGACGTGGCTGTGCCCTGGCGCATCCGGAGCATAAGGGCAATACTAAGGATGCGCTAGCGGTTTGAATAGCCCGCACACCACTGGTGCCTTCGCCGTCCAGCGCGTGCCCGCTAGCAGTAAAGTGTCACCTCGTATAACGCAGGAGGGATTCGGCGCGTGGTTCGCGCAAATTGCTGCGAACCCGTTTACCAATCTAGACTTGTACCGGAAGGGCTGCGGCCTGCTTCATACACGCGAACCTCCGGTGCTGCCTGGATACCTGGCGTCGGCGCCAGGAGTAGTTCAGGAGTCAGGAGCGGGCCCGCACGCTGGCTTCGCTGAAAGATCTCATTGTATCACAGCGTTACCGGGACAGGCGCCAAGATATCTGCGCGTGCGCGATACTGCGTCCACTGTACGTACCCGCTCACCAGGGTCGCTAATCACGTCACCCTTTCAGCATCCGCCGCACTAGGCGTATCCACCCCATAACTAACTCCGGTTGCGCCCCTGCGCTTTCTCACGTTCCTCTTCGTGCCCTTCTTCGCATAGCAGGACTACGGTAGGGTGCTTTTGCCTTCGTTCACTCGCAGCCAAACAGGGAATGTGTAACCCTGTTGCCGCCATGCTCCGCCTTTTCCCTCGAAGGTGCGCACAAACCGTGAGGGATCCCCGACGGAGTAGACGGGAAGGAAAAGCTTACGAAGGCCACCCGTCCCTGGTAGCGGGGCACACGAAGGTCTGCTGCTGCTGTGCAAGGACGCGCGCGTGCGCATGTTGTAAGCATCTTAGCCGGGGCTCACAGAGCGACGGCGGGCTTTGCTGGCAAACCGCAGTGTCTTCCACGGGCAGCTGGAGAAGGAGGGCTTGCATTTTCACACGTGAGGCACGACATGTCGTGAGTAGCAGCCCGAGATCGTCGTTCCCACACGAAAACCACAAGAGAAGCTGCTGGTAGGCAGACAACATACGGTACGCGCAGCATTGACGGCAAACAAGGACACAACGCCTGCATCGCTAAGCACAGTTCA